CGGGAGCCTGGCGGCCCCGCCGAGCCCTCCGGCTCCGCCACACTGCGCTCATTGTCTGCCGGGCTCCGCTCCGCCCGCTGACGTGGAGCCGCCTCCGTGTCCTCCCCCGGGCCCCCGGGACGCGGGCTCCCGCACGGACTCGGTCGCCCACCCTTCTCCCGCGGGGCTGATGGCTGCCCCCTTCTCAAAGTGGGGCAGTCTCTTACTTGTCTTTCCCCATCACCCCCAGACTGACCCCAGAACCATGGTGTAGGACCTAGATCCTCTATCGCCAGACGTAGTTTCAAGTGGAGAAACTGAGGCAGGCTCCTAGGCCAGGTGAGAAGATGGACTGGGAGGTGGGGAGAGCGCAGGCCCTTGGGGACTGGACGCCTAAAGCCGTCTAGTCTGCCCCCTCCCCATGTCCGCGGCCAGGGAGGTGTGGCCCTGTAGTGGTGGGATTGGGCCCGAGCTTGGGACTGCCAAGCCCGCCACCCCCCCCCTGCCCCAGAGCTTTGGCAATTGAGGCAGCTGGTGGTGAGGGAGTCTGCACGCCCACCTTGCCACTCTTGTATGCTGCCACCTGCCAGGCCTGGTCAGGGGTGTGTGTGGGGTATGCCCAGCCTGTGCACCTGCCCCAGGGCACCGGTGCCTCGCTGGCCCTGCTTGAGAGGGGTGGACGCTCGCCCTGGGGCCGGGTGTGGGGTTCTCTGCCCACCTCTGTGTCTGGATCCCCACTCGGTACCTCCAGCTGTGCCAGCCCGGGACTTAGACCCTTGAGTGCTGCCCTCGGCTCCTAGACCCAGAGGTGTTGCTGGCTGCTGAGCCTTTTCTGTGGGATGTCACCTGGGGCCACCCCTCCATGCTCCGCCCCTCCCCGCTCCTGAACTTCCTTCCTCCCGCCCCTCCCCTCACCCATACCAGATGAGCAGCTGGTTGCTTGGCCAGCCTGGCACCAGCTGTCCATCCCTGGGGCCAAGTCCACGGAGCCCGCTGTGTGTGAGAGACGGTTTGGCTCTGGGGGTGGCAGGCGGGCAGCTGCCGAGGAGGACGAGGTAAATTCTCCATGGTTACTGCTGTTTGTAATTCACGGGATATCCTTTACCCGCTAATGGCCACTCGGACGCCATTATGGGTCTGCGCGCCCCAGCCACGGTGCCCCAGCCCATGTGCAGGGCGTGCTGAACAGGACTCTGGGCCCTACTTGGGCCTGGCTGCAGGGTTGTAGTTGGGATGTAGGGCTTGCTCCGCCTCTGGGCGTGATAGCTCAGAGGTGGACGGGCTTGTCTGAGGCTCTGTCCTCTGCAGCCTCTGGGCGTGTGTGCAGGGCGCCTTGTCAGCCAGGGGACGCCCAGCAGCCCACTGCCTTTCCCGCCCTTCTCACCCTCTGCCGGTGCAGGGGCGCAGGGCACGGAGGCTTCTGTGTGAAGTAACCCGGCCTGGTCGCCGGTGGGCCGTGTGGTGGGCCTGTGGCTCTGGTCAGCTGCCTCCAGTGGGCAAGGCTTCGGCCGAGGGCAGCCTGCAGCTGTCTTCGGGTGTGGACGCCCCACGTGGGCATGCACGTGGGTGGGTGGGTTCTGTGGTGACACCTGAGGGAGGGGCTGGTGCGCTTCAGCCGCACGTGGCGGCCAGGCGTGGAGGACGGCTTCTGGGCTGTGGCCATCGGTCCTGGGGTGAGCTCTGCTGCGGCGTCCAGTGGCTCCTGACTCCTCTCTCCTTCCCTGCAGCTGGAAACGTGCACTCGCCGTCCACCAGCATGGCAGCCTCCTCCCAGTACCGCCAGCTGCTCAGTGACTATGGGCCGCCCTCGCTGGGCTACACCCAGGTGAGGCGCTGTGGGGATGGGTGGGCGGCCCCTGTGTGCCACGGAGTGCCCGTGTCCACCGCCTGTTCTGGGGTGTCAGGAACGTGGGGGAATGGTCTCTGCACCTGTTTCCTGGGGAGGGGGAGGGCCAGGGTGTGGTCCCCAAGTCGCTGCTTGGTGCATGACTCTGGGAGCCCTGGGGTCAGCCGGAAGGTTCTCTCCTGTCCGCAGCCAGCATTCCAGGGTCGCCATGGTGGCTCAGGTGGCACACAGAACCCAGCCATGCCCCAGCAGGCTGCCCTGGCTTGGGAGGAGAAGCAGCGAGACCAGTATCTGGAGGACGGGCTGAGGCGTGGCTCAGCCTTGCAGCTGCCCAGGCCCAAAGCCAGGAGGAGGCTGTGCCTGGAGGCCTGGAGGCTGGGGGCCTCTGCCCGGGAGCGCAGGCGGCAGAGGCGGGAGGGGCAGGCTAGGGCCCTCCAGGGGGAGCTGGCTGCCCTGGTGTGGCCTCAGCCTTGCGAGAAGGTGCCCATGCTGGAGGAGCAGCGGCCGCAGAGCCACGCAGGCCCCGGGCCCAGCCTGGTGCTTGCTTGGGGCTGCAGGCGGGTTTGGGGCTGTGGGCGGGCCCTACTTTCAGGTACAGCTAGATCTGACCATTCCCATCCCAGTGGGTATTGTGGCCCACGGAAACCCTGTGAACTCTGTTCCTGGGGGGACCCCAGGCCTCCTTTCCCTGAAGAGATGGAAAGGGCTTCTGGAGAATCAACTCTCCCCTGCCGTTGTCTCTGGAGTGGTGGAGCAAGCATGGGGGGTGGGGGGGAGGGCAGGGGTCCTGGGATGCTGGCCTGCTTTCCCTCCACCAGCCTTCCTCCACATGCTCTCTATGGTTGGGGTCATGTGAGGGCCCATTACTGGAACCCCTAATCCTGACTCCAAAGAACCAGGTCAGTCAGGTGCCCCAGAGCCCACCACCTGAACCCCTCCTTTTGACTCTGCAGGGAACTGGGAGCAGTCAGGTGCCCCAGAGCAAGTATGCAGAGCTGCTGGCCATCATTGAGGAGCTGGGGAAAGAGATCAGACCCACCTACGCGGGGAGCAAGAGCGCCATGGAGAGACTAAAGCGAGGTGAGCCACAGCCTGGGATGCTGCAGCCTCTCCCCTTCACTAGGGACAAAAACTGTTTTGTGTAGTACTGGGGTTTGAACTTGGGGCCCTAGACTTTCTAGACAGGCATACTTACCTCTGAGCTACACCTCCACCCCCAATACATAAGGGACCCATGCTTGGTGAGGTGACTTGAGACCCATGTCCTTCCAACGTTACACTCAAGAGGGAGGAGAGAGGGGTTTTCTACCTCAGCACGGGGAAGCCTGAGGAGCCAGGGCCCTGGGATCATTTGTGATCACAGAGATTTGAGGTTTTTAAAACCATGGCGGCATCTTGGGAAAGATCTAGACGGCTGAAGGCAGGACACTACATGTGTTTGTGAAACTTTGGTGAAGAGATTGAGACTTGAGTCTAAACTGGGGACTGGCAGAGTTTGGGGCTGTGGCTGATGAGGGCATGGAGGAGGTAGAGCCCAAGCCAGGTGGGCATTGCTCTGCCCCGCGTACTGCGATTGGGCATCAGAGCAAAAGTTCTGGTAACTGGCATGCTGGTGAGCGAGGGGCAGGTCCTGGGAGGCTGCTGGGCCCTTGAGTGGACACACAGGGCCTCCTAAGTGACCAGCAGGGAAGCTTAGTGCCAGCTACACCCCCACAAGTGTGTGGTAACAGGAGGAAAAGGGGGCTAGAAGTGTGCAATTACTTGGGAACATTTTTTCAAACAGATGGGTAGAGGGGATGGGGACTTGCCATGTTGCTGCTCGCAAACTCCTAGTCTTAAACGACTCTCATGCTCCAGCCTCCAGAGTAGCTGATGGGGCCGTGGGTGTGTCAACATGCCCAGCTTATTTGGGGTGGTTTAGATGTGGCCCCCTTAGTTCTCTTTCAGCTTGAGGATCCTGACTGCTGGGGTGGGTGAGTGAGCCTCTGGTTGTGTTTCAGGCATCATTCATGCTCGAGGCCTGGTTCGGGAGTGCCTGGCGGAGACTGAACGCAACGCCAGATCCTAGCCTTCCGTGAGAGGAGCAGGCTCAGGTCTCTCCTGATCAGGAAACTTGTTTTCAAAATGGTAACAGTTTAGTATTTTCTCCTTTGGTTCACTGAGCTCTGAAAAGGTTTCTCAGTTAATTAGAATTTGCATTTTAAGAGATTACAAATGATTCAGGGTTCTTTTTTTTCTCTCCAAGCATTGATTTGAAAAATGCATGTGAAGTTATTTTACAGCAAACATGTCTGCCTCCAAGATACCAGTGACTCCCTTTAATCTCCTGTTTGACTACATTTATACATCATTGAAACTGCTTTTGCTCCTTTCCATAAGCTCCTCCCCTTCGAGGACTTGGTTCTAAAGCATCCGACCCCGGTTTTAGGAGTAGCTGGTTCCACTTGCCACACTGTATAGATTCTGCTTCCTGGAAATTCTTTTCTGCGTAAGCATCTGCATGACCCTTAGTGCTTTGAAGTCAGTCTTAAAAATGCACAAGTTATAAATACAGAAGAAGGAGCAACCTACCAAACCCGAAAAGCGCCCTGAACATTTTCAAACTGCCTGTGTGTACATTTCACTTCCACACGTACTGTATGTTGATCAAAACATCTGGAAGACTGAAAACTGTTTGCATCTTTGTATTTATTACTTGATGTAATAAAGCTTATTTTCATTAACAATTTGTATTAAGATGCGGGATCCTTACACCACGCCCCCAGCCTGGGGATCCTTGAGTTCTCAAGGCTGTTTCAGAGCTGCTCAGTGAGAGGTTGGTGGTACTTGTGAATAAGGGTGCCCTTGGCTGGGTGCTGGTAGTTATTCAGATCTGAGGATCACTGTTCAGAACCAGCCTGGCAGGCAAGTCCATCTGTGAGAATTATATCCAGTTTATCATTAGAAAACGGGAAGTGAAGCTGTGGCTCAAAGCGGTAGTACTCCAGGCCAGTGCTCTAACCACTTGAGCCACAGCACCACTTCCGGTTTTCTGGTGGTTTATCAGAGGTGTCTCACGGCCTTTCCTGCCAGGCTGGCTTTGAACTGTGATCCTGAGATCTCAGCCTCCTGAGTAGCTAGGATTATAAGTGTAAACCACCAGCACCTGGCTTTTTTTCCTTTTTTTTTTTTTGGTTGCCCATGGGGCTTGCACTCATGGTCATGGGGCCTGTGCACCGTCTCTCAGCTCTTCAGCTCAAGGCCAGATCTCTACCACTTGAGTCATAGTGCCACTTCTGGTATTCTGAATAGCCTAGCTATTTCTAGCTTTTTATAGTAAAACAGACACACATGGCAATGTCTACCTTAAGAAAATATGGGAAGCCAGGTACCAAGTAGTAATAACTTCTTTGTGTTTTACTTAGCCGGTGGCTGATACCTGTATCCTAGCTACTTAGGAGGCTGAGATCTGAGTTGCAGTTCAAAGCCAGCTTATCTCCGATTAACCACCAGAACACCAGAAGTAGCACTGTGGCCAAAGTGGTAGAATGCTTGCTTTGCTCAAGGACAGCGCCCAAGCCCAGCCCCAGAGTTCAAGCTCCATGGCTGACAAACTAAAAAACAGGTAGAAATAGCTGAGGGGTGTGGCTCAGTTTTATTTATAATTTTTTTGTCAAACTGGGGTCTGGACAGAGCCTCACACTTGCTAGACAGGTACTCTGCTGTGACCCTAACTCTCTTTATAGTACTATTTTTTTCCAGTCCTGGGGCTTGAACTCAGGGTCAGGACACTGTTCCTGAGCTTCTTTTGCTCAAGGCTACCACTCTACCACTTGAGCCCCAGTGCCACTTCAGCCTTTTTTTCCATTTATATAGTACTGAGGAATTGAACCCGGGGCTTCATGCATGCTAGGCAAGCACTCTACCACTAAGCCACGTTCCCAGCCCTATAGTTTTATTCTTGAGCACACAAGCCGACATTCTCTGGCGGCTTTTCATCTGTGTGGGTGCTAGCTTGAGGCTGCAGACTCACTAGGAGAGAGGCCTGGCTGCCACCTTCTCCATGGAAACTTCTTGTAGATTCAGTCAGAATCAGCAGTTCTTTTCTCAGTGACATTTTCACTTGACTCCCTTAGTTCTTTCAGTAATTTCTTTTTTTCTAGAGTTTCCTTTGTTCTCTTTTTCCTTTCTTGCTTTTTCTTCTGTGCCTCTCGTTTCTCTTTGTACACAGGGCTCTTTTCACCATTATAGAAAACATCCACTTTTTCTTGTAGGATTTTCCGAGCTAGCTTTCTGTTTTGATCCACAGATCTTGTCTGGTGGCACTGCAAGAGATGATGTTAGTGATGTGGAATTATGGAGTGACACGGGATTGATAGGCTCTCAGAAGTCATTTCTTTCCACCTGGTCCTTTACAGATGGGGACAGACTACGAGCCAAGTCACTTGTTAGAGGTTCCAGCAGGGAGGGGTTGTGAGGGCCGGACCCTTTTTGGCTCTGGCCTGTGGCCTCTGCACACACCAACTGTATTATGTCTTTTACTAGGAAAGCTTTATAATTAGAGGTATTATTTTTGGCCAGGTGCCAAGGGTTCACACCTAAACTCTCAGCTACTCAGTAGGCTGCCATCTAAGGAAGATCAAAATTCAGAGCCAAAGCTGGGCGCTTTGGCTGTAATTCTAGCCGTCCAGGAAGCTGAGATCTGAGGATCAGCCAGCCCAGGCAATGGTGTCCTTGAGACTCTTACCTCCAATAATAGCCGGAAGTGGAGCTGTGGCTCAAGCAGTAAGAGTCCCAGCCCTGATCAAAAGAAGTACATGGGCAAGGCCTTGAGTTCCAACTCCAGTACTGGCATTGGTTTAGAATTAATCCTAGTTACACAGGAGGATCACAGTTCTAGACCAGCCTAGGCAAAAAGCTCATGAGCCCATTTTTGATCAATAGCTGGGTGTGGTGGCCATATGCCTGTCACCCAGCAATGCTGGAAGTTGAGATTGGGAGGATTGAGGTTCTAGGGCCAAACTGGGGGTGGGTGAGGTGGGGGTGGGTTATCACATTCCATCTTAATGGAAAAAGTTGGGTGTGGTAGTGTGCAAATGTCATCCCAGATAGGACTTGAAGCATAGGTAAGAGGGTTGAGGTCCAGGCTGGCCTGGGTCCAAAGTGAGACCCTAAATAGCCAGAGCATAAAGGGTTGGAGGTGTGGCTCAAGTGGTAGAGTGCTGGCCTACCAAGTGCAAAGCCCTCAGTATAGCCCAAAAAATAACCTTCAAATAAATTCTAAAAATCAAAGGGAAAGGAGTAGTGATAAGAGTGGGAGAGATTGATTGGATTATATTTTAAACGTGTGGAGATGTAACCATGAAATTTCCCTCTGTAAAACTAAGCAATTTTTAAAATGCTAAAAAAAATCTCCCAAATAATTATGAAAACATTAAGTGATGAATCTAGCTTGTGATCAAGGAATAAACCTGCACCATTCACCATCTTCACAGTTAGCTGACCATAGTCCTGACCTAAAAATGTTCATTGTGGGCCAGTGTCTCACAAAGCTTATAAAGGAAAGAACACAGAAACAACGGTGAATGTCTAATGCACAGAGAGGAGGCAGGTTTGAGTTTGTTCCCCATAATTGAGTTTTCAGGAGGAAGGGTGGGATGGCCTCAGACCCCACACCTGGATCACTGTGAGCTTGGGGGCTGGAGTTCACACGTGCACTGCACCAAATCACGTGGTGTGTGCATGGTTGCTATCCCTGCCATTAGTCCCTTGGGGATGGATGGATGGATGCCTTTGTGCTGGCTCTGCCCTGGCGCTCACAGGCTGTGTGTGCTGCTCTGGGGCCCTCTAGTGGTCAGTGTGTGGCTGTGCATGGTGAATCAGCTCTACCAGCCAGGCTCCTCTTTCAGAGGCAGAGTGGCCATCTCTACTCAAGGACTTTCTTGCCTGGGCTGGCTCTGAACCATGATCCTCAGATCTCAAGCCTGAGTAGCTAAGATTACAGGCATAAGTCACCAGCACCCTACTGGTCGGTTAGAGGCTTCCTATTACGCAAGGTTTCTGCCGGCAGCTATGCCTGACACTTGCTCTCACCTTAGCACACTTCTCTCCACAAAGTCAAGGGGCGCTTTTAACCTGGGGCTGTTTGCTGCTGCTGAGGGACAGTGGCCTTTGTCAGCACTGCTTGCTGCCTGTGGGGCAGTGCTGTCTGCTACTCACGTGGCCACGTTTCGCCCTCGGGCCGTGGGCCAGGGCTGCTAAGACTGGAGGCTCTGCCTTAGGAGACTGGTTCAGGGCACAGGGTGGACAGAGCCAGGATGAGCCACTCCTCATGGCTGGCCACCTGCACTCAGGAGAGGCCTGTGTAGCCATAGTGCCCAGACCCCCATCCCAGGTCTACCTTGACCACGATACCGGAGGGCATGTGCTTCAGCACCACACAGTTGCTGGTTTTGTTGGTGGCTTGGCCCCCTGGACCATGCCCCTTCACAAACTGCTCTTCCAGATCATTCTCATCCAGGGGACACAGCGCTGGGCAGCCCTTCTTGCCGGCCATCTGCACTGCAGTGGGGGCCACTCCTGGGGACAGCAGTGCCAGCGTCTCCCAAAGCCCAGGTCCCCGTGGTACTCTGCATGTTCTGGTCAGCAGTGCAGGAAAACGCCACCAAGCCCTGGTGTTCATCTTCTGGAATAGACAGAAGGCAGCTTCTCAATACAAACGCCTGGGCTCTCAAGATCACACCTCCGCTTCAAAGACAGCATCTAGTGATAGCCAGGGTAGGTCAGAGACCAGTGGTTGAGCAAGGCATGCTTCTCCATGACTGCCCACGGTCCAAGTCCTGCTGGCCACAGCAGATCAAAAATACCTTCATGGCACCCAGAGATGCTGTTTCTTCAGGAAGGAGATGTTTTCGGTGTGAAATTCAGAGAAATGGTGTAATCTGATAAAGAAGTAATAGACAGTACGTCAGGCAAGAATTAGCATCTGAGTCAAGGGACAGTATTTAAACATTTGCGACTCTGAAATCTGCTTTTAAAATGTAAAGATGACAGTACAAGAGACTATTCTATGGCTGAGCTTCAACAGTCTGACACAGTAAAATTCACTATCAATCAATGTCATGGTTGTTGTTTTTTAATGTTTCCAGTTTCATGGATCTGAATAGGAACATCTGTTCCCTGAGATATTCTGCCAATACCATGATCCAGCTGGCCCTCACTGGTACAACTTTCAAAGCAACTGATTTTCACTAAAGCGCCTGTTAGCTTTAACGTGCCAGGAAAGGTACCATGAGATGAAAAAGAGCTGGACTGACTTTGTGGGTCTTCTGAGCTAGAAGGAGAGAAGAAATTCAGATCAAATTCTCTTTTTTGTAGGGATTGTGGCTGATGTTGAGGACTGAACCCAAGGCTCCTTGTGTGTGAGCCTACATTCCACCCCCGCCCACTGCAACAGTAGAAGACTTAACAATGACTTGAGACACAGCACAAGGTAGACAGACAGAAGGCAACAGTGAATCCCACAAGCCTTTGCAGTTTTCAGGGGTTGGGGGCGGAAGGATCTGAAAGGTCTCTGGCATTCCCAATAAAAAAATAAGTGGCCGGGTGCTGGTGGCTCACGCCTGTAATCCTAGCTACTCAGGAGGCTGAGATCTGAGGATCGAGGTTCAAAGCCAGCCCGGGGAAGGAAAGACCATGAGACTCCTATCTCCAATAAACCACCAGAAAACCGGAAGTGGCACTGTAGCTCAAGTGGTAGAGCGCTCGCCTTGAGCTGAAGAGCTCAGGGACAGCGCCCAGGCCCAGAGTTCAGGCCCCACGACTGACAAAAAAAAAAAAGTGGATCAGCCTGCGCAGACTTGGGCTTCATTCTCATCACATCTGTTAGCCAGGTGGATTCTGCTAGCTCAGGGCATCCTCGCTGAGGAAGAGGGGTGCTCCCTGCTCCTGCAAGGCTGAGGCTGTTGTAGCTGCGGTTACCATTCGAAACCTTGTAACTTTGACCCCTGCAGCCTCTAAGGTACTGACAGGAAGCAAATTACCACACCAGGTGGTTCTGCACACCTCTTCCCCTGCTGTCACCTGTGACAGTACCATCTGCTCGGGCTCACTTGGAGCCCCAGAAAAACACTAAAGAAAACCTGCCACAGGCAGTGCACTTCCGGTGTGGAATCAATGCACCGGAGGCCCTGTGCGCCTAAGGACCACAACAGACCATTATTCATCTCTGCCTCGGCTGTTTCAACAGGAAAAAAACCAAGGGAACCTGACGTGAGGTACTTCCTTCTGAAGCCTCATGCTAGGCCGGTGCTCAGTTCAGTACGTGACACTGGGTCCAGCGCTGGGCCTTTTCTGAGTCAAGGTGCAGCAGTCGCAGTGGTTGAAGAGGTGACCCACCAGGCGCTCCGTGGCGGGAAGGGATGTGGTTGGAAACACAGTGACCACAGCTCAGAACCAACTGCACTGGTGACTCCAAGGCGATGAAATTGACCTTGTTTAGTGTGTGGAATATTCTACAAGTATTTTCAAGAAAAATGAATGATAAACTGAGACAATCTCCTCCGAGCCTCTCCAATGAACAAGCGAGTAAGTGCACACGCTGGGGGAGGAGGTTAGTGACCGCGGTGTGGCTTCCTTCGGCTCATAATGCGCACAGCAGCATTCCTTTGTGCATGAGATTGGGGCCTCACCTTAGCGCTCTCACCAGTGAGGGAACTGAGCTGGCAGGAAGGACAGCCTGGGGACACGGGACAGGGACAGGGACAGGAAGCAAGGCAGAGACAGGAGAGAGTCCCAGACAAAGGCTGGAGAGGGTTTTATCAGCCGCTCTTTCCTGTCATTCTCCTTCTGTCCCAGCACAGATGTCCTGGATGAGCTCCCACCCAACTGAAGTTCAAGAAGGTCCCCTGTGTTTAGTTACTGGCTGCTTTGTTTAATGGCTAATCCTAACAGCCAATCAGACAATTCTAGACACTTCTAGTATCTCCTGGCGCTTTGGCCCCATACCAAAGACTGCTAAAAATGACAAACACACCCATGGTTCCTCTTCTTCAAAGCCCAGAGAATGAGAGAGACTGGATTTCAGCTCTTGACACCCACAGGATCACCTGAAGTCTTTGGAGACAATAAAAGCAGCTCAAATTGTAGCCGCTTGTGACATTTTGATGAAAGGGAAAGAGCAAAGTGGCAGTGCTAGCGAGGGGAAATCAGCTGTGGCGACAGGAACTGCCCAGGCCCTTTCTGCCTGAGGGCTGCATTCAGGCCTGGCTCCTTTGACCATGGCTTCTGCTCCAGAGAGCTGATCCAAGTTTAGACAAAACCCTAAAAAACTCATTGTCTGGATTCCCTTCCAACTTGGTCAACTCGAGACGCAGGTCTGAGGACTTTACAAAAGGAGATGTTAATTTGTCCAATGAATCTTTTAAACATCTGAGTATCTGGCATAGGCCTCCGGGAATGCAAGAAGCTGTATGAGAACAGAGAAATGAGGACATGCGCCAGTCCAGCATGTGCCAGAGCCCTGGACACACACGCCACAGAATGGTGATTCTCAGACTTCCAGATGCCCTGCTCTGTCAGTGTCAGGACCTGAACGTACTTCACAGCCAACCGCATCACCCAGCATCTGACCTTTAAGCTAGATGGCCAGTTGCTATCCCAGGGCAAAAGCAGATGTGGAGGCTGAGCTGCGTCATCCACAGCTCCACCGGCCTGAGGAGAGGAGGTTCACTGAGACCTTGCCTCAATTCTGGCTGCTTTTAAAAGATGTTTATTTTTACCACATTTGAAGAAGTTGAGGTCACTCTCACCCCAGAGATGACCCACTTCCAGTCTATTGAGAATGCATTCATTGTTTTCCTAATAAACTTCCCTAGCACTTTCCAAAAAAAGAAAAAAGGAAAAAGCTGAGACTAGAACTCAGGAGCGCTCCCAGCTTATTTGTGTCATCTCCCCGGAATTCAATGAGGAGGGGAGCCCACAGGTCTGAATCACAATGATCAGAAAACGGATAAGTATCCAACAGTGAACTCAAACAGCCTGTGGACAATGTTGGAGCTTTGAAAAGAGAAAAGCCCCACAATGCATGCATCGGAAGGCAAGTGTGAGCACAACAGTCTCCTGACAAATACTTCATAGTAATTCATGTTTCAAAAGTATAGTGTTTAGTAGGGGTGTGGTTCAAGTGGTAGAGCACCTGCCTAACAAATGCAAGGCCAAGGGGCTGGGAAGTTGGCTCAGTGGTAGAGCGCTCGCCTTGCATGCTTAAGGCCCTGGGTTCCATTCCTCAACACCACATAAGCAGTAAAAAAAAAGCCGGAAGTGGCGCTGTGGCTCAAGTGGTAGAGTGCTAGCCTTGAGCTGAAGAGTTGAGGGACAGCATCCAGGCCAAGAGTTCAGGCCCCATGACCAGACCCCAAATGCAAGGCTGAGTTCAAACTCCAGCACTTCCAAAAATGGAAAACAAAAATGTGTGGTGCTTTCTTGGACACAAGGTTCTACAAAGCAGTCCAAGCTGGCCTTGAACTCTTAAGTCCTCCTGCTCCAGTTCCTAGTGTTGGTGATACAGGCACATACCACCACACCTGGCTCCAAAAGTGTGGTGACCTTTCTCCCTCCCTCCCTTTCTTTCTTGTCCTGAGGCTTGAACTCAGGGCCTGGGTACTGTCCCTTTATTTTCAGTTTTGCAGTGATGTGGATTGAACCCAGAGCCTTGAGTATGCTCAGCAGGTGCAGGACCTCCGAGTGACACTGCCAGGCCTTCAAGTGTTGTGGTGTTCCCTCCAAGTGTTTGGGTTACCGAGTTGCCTTTCCCAACCACTCACATGCAGCCTCTTACCCGGTTCCATTCCCGGGCCTGCAATTCCATTTGGGCCCACACAGCTGTCCAGTGGGGCCCACAGGAGGACCCAGGGGAGGCTGCAAACAGACAATATTCTTCCCTAGGCTTGGGCCTCACACACATGGTAAAGCAGCTCTGACCTACAGTTCATGTTCACAGCAATTACTTCTCTAACATGGAAATGCAGAGCAGTTAGCTCTGATCTGCAGTGCTGCCCCGAGTCAGGTCTGATTTTAATAGGCACATTGCTGCTCAGTTCAAAGAAACACCTGAGTTCACCAAGAGAAAAACATCCAATCATACAACACCGACATCTCATTCATCTAATTAGTATTATTATTTTTGTCAGTCGTGGGGCTTGAACTCAGGGCCTGGGCACTCTTCTTCAGCTCTTCAGCTAAAGGCAAGTGCTGTACCACTTCCAGTTCTCTAGATAAGAGTCTCACAGACTTTCTTGCCCAGGTTGGCTTCGAACCGAGATCCTCAGATCTCAGCCTCCTGAGTAGCTAGGATTACTGGCGTGAGCCACCGGTGCCTGGCCCATTCATCTTTTTTAAAAGACAAAACTTCTAATCCAGAGATCACACCTGTCCTATTTATGTGCACCACTGTGACTTTCTTCTATTTGTGGCATGGCACAAGAACCTCATCAACTGCAATATTAAAATAAGATAGACATAGCAATCACACCACATTTTCTCTAAAATCTCAAAGCCTGTATTACCAGTAATAATACCTTGTTCCAAACTATTTAGGACTTACACAAAACACCAATTATTGTATTTGATAGAAGTTAAAAAAATATGATACATTAATCTTGGAAAAACATTGGCAGTTCAATCTTTGAAATTGTTTATCTCTCCCACAGTTTGTTTTGCTACTTTCATTACATCTCCAGATCTGTTTTTTCCAAGTTCCTTAAAAAAAAAATTAGTTCATTTTCCTTAACTCTTTTTGGCTCTTTGTTTGAAAAAGAATGTGGAAAAAAAAAAGAAAAAGAATGTGAGTTTGAGGCTTTTTTATTCTCTTTCTTTTGGGCAGTACTGGGGTTTGCACTCAGGGCCTTTTGCTTGCTCAGCAAGTACTCTATCAGTTGAGCCATGGTGAGCCTTAAAAAATAAATAAGTAGCCGGGCACCAGTGGCTCATGACTGTTATCCTAGCTACTCAGGAGGCTGAGATTTGAGAATCGCTGTTCAAAGCCAGCCCAGGCAGGAAAGTCCATGAGACTCTTGTCTCCAACTAACCACTAGGACACCGGAAGTGGCACTGTGGCTCAAAGTGGTAGAGTGCTAATCTTGAGCAAAAAGAGCTCAGGGACAGCTCCCAGGCCCAGAGTCCAAGCCTCATGACTGACCAAAAAAATTAATAAAAATTTTAAAAAATCTTTAGTTAGGTTTCTTGCATTTCTTTTGCCCAGGTCTGGCCTTAGTCCAAGATTCTGCCACCAATATCTCCTGTACAACTGGGATAAAATAGGCACAGACCACACCTGGCTTGTTGGTTAAGATGGTGGATCTATACTTTTTAACTCAGTTGACCTCAAACTGGAATCCTCCCAATTTTTGCCTCTTAAATAACTGGGATTACAGCCACCACACTTGGCTTTTTTTTTTTTTTTTCCTTCTAGTGGTTCTGGAGTTTGAACTCGGGGCTTTGCACTTGCTAGGCATGCACTCTACCACTTGAGCCACAATCCCAGACCCTTCTGTTTTTGGAGACAGGGTATTTTTATGTAGTCCAGGATGGATTCAAACTCCAGATCTTCTTGGCTCAACTTCTTGAGTGCTGGAATTACATCCTGAACTACCATGCCTGGGCAAATGAAAGCTTTGTAGTCACCATGTCCTGTATTCAATGTTTCAATGCTGTGATTTAGTTTACTGTGCAATCTTGGCCATATTTCATTTGTAAAATGAAGATACTGCCTTGGGTATGAACTGAATCTTACATGATGTCACAAATGGAAAGCACTTCAGCTCCCTAAACGACAAAGTCAAGGAGCCTATGACTTAGAAAACAGAATTGTTGTATTACAATGTAAACTCAGTGGATAAACAAAAATCTCAGGGCTTTGCAGAGGTGAAAGTAAACAGCAGCTAACACAATGATCTGCAAACGATTCTACTTGGGATGGTCCAATTTAAGAAGTACATGGAATCCAGGATTGCCAAAGACATGCTATTTGGTGAGGTCATAATTCTGGCCTATGAAATCAGATGCTAAGGAGATTATGATGATCCTGAAACACAAGCCTGACTTCTCTCCAGGCTTCCATAAACATAACCATGGTCAACAGAGTCCATTTAAAAAGTCATAAAATAGCAACAGCTTGCTTACAGGTAGAGTATGGGGTAGGGGTAGGGTTCCTTAGATGAATAGTTATACTTTATAAACACATTTACTTCAATTTCTGAAGTGTTCTACTTCTGTTTTCTGTACTTAGAAATGTGTTAGGATTTTACAATTTTTAGCTTGTTTATAATAGTTTTGTAAAAGGCTTTACTAAAATGGGGGAGGAGTACATTATGTACATGTTCATGAAAAATGTCATGATGAAATCCATTAAGAAGGTGCAAAAACAAAAACCCTCCAAGAGCTAAACCTAATATAAGAAATATGGTGTAGGGCTAGGAAGGTGGCTCAGTGGTAGAGTGCTCGCCTTGCATGCATGAGGCCCTGGGTTCCATTCCTCTGCACCACATAAGCAGAAAAAGCCAGAATAGCGCTGTGGCTCAAGTGGTAGAGTGCTAGCCTGAATTGAAGAGCTGAGGGACAGCACCCAGGCCCAGAGTTCAGGCCCCACGACTGACAAAAAGAAAGAAAAAAAAGGTATAGACAGCCCTACCTGAAGATGTCACTGCATCAGCTCATGAGGTGAGTTGATCAGAAAGCTAGTTCCTGAGTGTGTTGGCTTCTAAAATATTAATGGATTAAAAAGAAAATGACCTACGAACTGCCTAAAATCCCACTGCCAAAAACACATACTCAAAAACATACACTCCCCCAAAGTAACATAGCCTAAACATGTGTCTTGTGCTTAGTAAGTGGTCACTAGCACTAGCCTTCGGGATTAAACTTTTTACCTGGTGAAGAAGCACATTTCTTCCTGGTACTGTATCAGATCTTCTGTGAGTTCAGGGTCTCTAATAGACTTTGTGACCAACTGCAGTGAGTAATAAAATTCCTCTTTTTTTTGCGGGGGACTTGAACAAGGCTGTGTGTTTGATTCTGGTTCGGTGCCACGCGGTTGTGGTTTATACGTGGTGGGGGGGTCTATTTATTTAACCTTGAGGGTGCGGGGTTTTGGGTGGGGACGGAAGGTGCACCGTGGAATGAAAACCTGGTAGGTGTTGTGGGGCTGCGCCGAGATGGAAGGCCTCCCCGGCGGACTGCGAACTCCAGGGGCAATCACGGTCCCCGCATGGTCCTGTCAGCGCCAGCCGTGGCACCGTCTGCGAAACGCCAGTAACCAGGTGTGGCTCAGGCCTGGGCACTGGGGAGGACCTTAGCCGGGCTGAGGGCTGAAGACGGCGGGCCGGGCTCCGCACGGCAGGACGCAGGCCCCGCGAGGGCAGTGCGGGCGCCCACTCCGTGCGAGGCCTAAAACCGCGCGGGCTGCAAGGCCGGAGCCGCCCCCGGCGCCGCTCCACAACCTCGCCACGCCGAGCAGCCATGCTGGGCAACGACCCCTCCTCTGCCCCCCACCCCCGCCCGCATCCCCCTTCCACAGGGCACGCACGCCCCTCCCGCCCCCTCAGGGTAAACTGAGTCCGGGGAAGGCTTAGAGGTCAGGTCCGGCTCCTCCCCGCCAGGAGGCCTCACAATAAACTGGTTGCACGGCTCAGGGTCGCTAGCAGGGAACTCCGGCGCCCTAGCTCCGGGACCTCTCTCCCGTGCCAGTCGTGCGAGGCCTCCGCAAACGCTTACCTGGCCTCCCGCCCGAAACACGCGGGGAGAACCCGAACTCCACGGACCCGGGACTCGCCACAGCGCTCCTCGGTCTGCGCACGCGCACTACTGGCAAGGACGCTTTCCCTCACCAGCCCGAGACTCGGTTTCACTAACTGCGCATGCGACAAGCTGGGCGGTGCTTTCACGTGAGGAGAGTAGGTTCCCAGGGAGCCAATCAGAATGGAAGATTTGACCGCCGCCCCGGTCCCCGCCCAGTTCACGCCCCCTTGCCGTCAGGCAGGCTTTCCTCCGGCGTGAGCTGCGCGCCAGGGAAGCGGGAGGTCAGCGCGCACGTCGCGCTCGATGCTCTCCGCCCCCCTCTGAGGAACAGCCAATCCGCGGGCGAGACGCCGGGCGCGTGCTTGCTCCCTTGAGTTTAACGGTCGCGAGAGGGTGGTGGCTAGATCTGAACGCCGGCTGAGGAGCCAGCGGGCACGGTAAGGGGCCCTGGCCTGCGGGGAGCTGCGGGCTGCGAGGCTGCGGGGACGAGCTCCACCTGGCGTGGTCCTGGCGGCCTCCTGGGTGGTGGTCAGGCGTGGCCGGAGGCAGGCAGCGGGCGC